AGGAGCTGGCCGCCCACCTCGGCATTGGCCTCGACTCTGAGGAGGCGGTTGCAAAGGTGACCGCCCTCTTTCCCTCGCTGGACAAGCGCACCTTTCTCCTGGAGCTGTTGGCGGACATCTTTGAGCGGCGACCTTCTCAGCTGAAGGCCCTCAACTCTCTGCCACTCTACCCCAGCGAAGAGGTCATCTGGGATGAGAATCTGGTGCCGAGCGGAGACGTCCACTTTAGCGGCGACTCAGTGCTCGCCCTGCCCAAGTTGAACGTTCAATTTCTGACGTTGCACGACTACCTCCTGCGGAACTTTACCCTCTTTCGGNCATTGAGCAGGCGGTGGGCCACCTGAAGCCGTGGAAGACGGAGGAGGGCGGCGTCATGTTTGGCGGCTGGGCGCGCATGGCCATCCCCATTGATCACTTTGCGGTGACGGAGCTGGCGAAGGCGGCCATCGGCGAGGGTGGCCGACCTTCCCGGGTGAAGGCTGAAGTTGTGGTCAACCTGGCTGTCAAGCGAAGTATCAAGACGGAGTGGGAGGCGCTGCGGAAGCACGACGTTGCTTTCCTGGTCACCGTGCGACCGGAAGCGCCGCCGGGAACGCCTTTCAACTATCGAGAGGCCTTTGTGCCGCAGGTGGGCCTCGCCTACGTTCGAGGCTGTGAGGTTGAGGGTAAGTCCGCTTTAATTTTTTATTTTTTAGTACCTAAGATTTTTTATTTATAGGAATGCTCGACCCAACCGGGCGGCTCATTGATGAGAACCCCTACGCCGCTGAAGCTCGTCCGCACTTTAGCACCGACTTTCGCACCTACCGCGTGCTGCTCGATACGAATCAGTACCAGATTGATCTCCGGTCTGGTGCAGTGGCCCTCTGCTCTACCAGCGAAAGCTCAGCAAAACCAGCGCCAGCGGAGGAGGTCTACGAGTCCTTCAACGTGCTGGTTCGCCGGAAGCCCAAGGCGAACAACTTCAAGGCCGTCCTGGAGACGATTCGCGAGCTGATGAACACGCGCTGTGTCGTGCCGGAGTGGCTGCACGACGTCATTCTCGGCTACGGGGAGCCCGGCGCGGCCCACTACTCTCAGTTGGCCGTCAACCGGGAGCTCTTTCCGGTACTGGACTTTTACGACACCTTCCTCAGTTTGGAGCACGTCGAGGAGGTTTTTGGCGGCGATGGCTATCAGGTCAGGTTTGAAGGACCTAGCAGCTGCTCATCACCAAAGCCGCCTTTCAAGCTCCGAATTGACTCGGAGGAGAAGGTGGTCACCGTACAGTCGTACAGCGTCCCCAGTCGAGGGCCTTACGCCACCGATGAGCCGAAGCGGAATGCGATTCGCTTTACCAGGGCGCAGGTTGAGGGTAAGTGTGCTCCCTTACAAAAAAATTCAAAATCTTGAACTAATTTTTTCTTCCTCTTTAGCAATCCGTTCCGGCATCCAACACGGCCTGACGATGGTCGTCGGCCCACCCGGCACCGGAAAGACCGACCTGGCGGTGCAGATTATCAGCACCCTGTACCACAATCACCCGGAGCAGCGGACGCTAATTGTGACGCACTCCAACACCGCCCTCAACCAGATCTTTGAGAAGATAATCGGCCTGGACGTGGACGAGCGCCATCTGCTGCGGCTGGGCCACGGGGAGACCGCCCTGGAGACGGAGAAGGACTTTAGCCGCTACGGGCGGGTGAATTACGTTCTCTCGAAGCGACTGGAACTTCTTGAAGCGGTTGGGCGGCTGGCCACCTCGCTGGGACTGTCCACCGATGCAGCGTACACCTGCGAGACGGCGGGCTACTTCTTCCTCTACCACGTCCTCTCGAAGTGGGAAGCTTTTCAGGCGGAGCTGTCTTTACTTTCTGAAGAGCAGAAAACTTCGAGCTTTGTGGCGGCTCGCTTTCCCTTCACCGCCTTCTTTGCCCAGGACCTGGGGCGAGAGCTTTTCATTCAAGAAAGCTCTTTCGAGGAGGCGCTCGAGGTGGCCAGCGGCTGCTTCCGCTACATTCGCCGCATCTTCACGCAGATTGACGAGTTTCGCGCCTTTGAGATGCTGCGGCCGGGCCCGGACCGCGCCAACTACCTGCTGGTGCGTGAGGCGAAGATCATCGCCATGACCTGCACGCACGCCGCCCTCAAGCGGCAGGAGCTAGTTCAACTGGCCTTCCAGTACGATAACATTCTCATGGAGGAGGCGGCGACCATACTGGAGATTGAGACCTTCCTGCCGCTGCTGCTGCAGAACCCGCAGTTTGGCCACAATCGGCTGAAGCGGTGGATCATGATCGGCGACCACCACCAGCTGCCGCCGGTGATTAAGAATGGTGCCTTTGGGCGGTTCAGTAATATGGAGCAGTCACTGTTTGCCCGCTTTGTCCGGCTGGGCGTGCCAACCATTACCTTGGACCGACAGGGTCGGTCACGGGCGAGCATCTGCGGGCTGTGGAGCTGGCGCTACGACGGCCTCGGAAATCTGCGGCACGTCGAGCAGTTGGAGGAGTTTGGACGGCCAAATCCGGGTAAGTGCTTTTTATTTGCTAAAAAATTTTTAGTTTTAACTTTTTATTTTCATTTTTTCCTAGGCTTCCTTCACGACTTTCAGCTGGTGAACGTGGAGGACTTCAACGGAGTGGGCGAGTCGGAACCGGCCCCGCACTTCTACCAGAACCTCGCCGAGGCGGAGTACATTGTGGCCACGTTTATGTACATGCGCCTGCTGGGCTATCCCGCGGAGCGGATCACCATCCTCACGACGTACAACGGTCAGAAGCACCTGCTGCGCGACGTGGTGGAGCAACGATGCGCCTCCAATCCCTTCATTGGCCGACCGGCGAAGGTGACCACCGTGGACAAGTTCCAAGGGCAGCAGAGCGACTATGTCCTCCTCTCGCTGGTGAGGACCAAGGGAGCCGTCGGTCATGTGCGCGATATTCGCCGACTGACGGTGGCCATGAGCCGAGCTCGCCTGGGCCTGTACGTCTTTGCCCGGGAGCGGCTCTTCTCCGGCTGCTACGAGCTGGCGAGAACGTTTGCTCTGTTGAAGCAGGATCGACCGACCAGTCTGCAGCTGATTCCGGGGGAGACCTTTTTTGATGAATCACTGGACCGAAGCCAAAATCCTGAAGTGAAGGAGATCGCCTCGATGGCAGAGATGGTCGCCTTTGTCTTTGAGTTCTACGGATCGGCGGTGGGACGGCTGCAGCAACGGCGGCCTGAGGAGTTTGAGCGCATCATGAGCGGCGGCCAAAAGAGAACTTCTGCGGAAGAGGATGATGAGGATGAGGACGAAGCTGAGGCTTCTGCTCCTGCCACCGGAAATGAAGACGAGGAGGAGCTGCCCTTTGAGCCGCTGGCCGAGGACGACCAGGCCGTCGATGACGACGTGGCGATGGACTTTGAGGAGGAAGAGGTGGTGGCGGTGAAGAAGGTCCCACTACCTCCAAAGAAGGACATTCCTGAAGATGTTGATAAAGAAGTGGAGGAAAAAGATGATAATGAAGTTACACCAAAAAGGCAGAAGGTCGAAGAAGCTGCTGCTCCTCAGAATTCTATGGAGGAAAAAGAGGAGGAGGTTGTGCCTACGGAAACTCCCGAAACTGAAGTCGCTCAGGAGGAGCAGGAGAACACTGCTGAAGAAGTTCAGGAAAAAGCTGAAAGGGATGATGATGAGGATGCGACCACTGAGGAGGATGAAGAAGAGCCTGCTGCTGAAGCTGCTGAGAATGATGATTAATCAGCTTTGGAGTATTACCAAAAATGATTGAATTTATTTAGTAAATTAGCACGACTAATAAAATAAAATAAGAGGGTCTTTATTACTAGCAGAAAGAGAAAAACTTGGTAGTAAAAATACAAAAATGCAAAATAAAACAAGGGACAAAGTAAAAAGTAAAAGTGGCAAGAGAGAAAATTGAAATGATCTAAAAAGAAGTAAAAAAGAAGGAGTTTACAGCAGAAAGGTGAAAGAAGGTCAATAAAAAAATAAAATTAAAAGGAGGATATGATGATGATGACGGGATGGATGGAAAAGAGGATTAAAGCTGAGAAGATCTATGTACAAGTGGCAGTGGCAGGGGTGATAATGAAAATCAAGAAGTCCAGTCGGGGGAGTTTGGAGGATGAGAGAAAAAAGATGGCAAAGGTTTTGAAGCAGAAGTTCCTGGAAGGGGTGGCGAAAAAGGATGGCACGGCTTGGATCGGCGTCCCCCTCTACTCGGACTTTATTGTTTCAGCGTCAGCAGTGGAAGTTGCGGGAGTTTCCGTTTTGGTGGGCGATTGCCGGGGTGGCAGCGTTCGATTAGACTCAAAGACCTTGGCGACGAGAACCTCGGCTGGAATTGGGTCGCTCTCCTCGGCTCGATAGTTATCCTGAGCCTGATCATCACCACCACTTGCATCACCATCATCACTTCTCAGAACTTCATCCACCTTCTGGCGGATGACTCCCGTCATGACGTACTTCTTCACCTTCTTTCCATCGGCATCAATGGACTCCTCTTGGTGATAACTCGGCTGGTCATCGGAAGAAGGTGGTGGCAGGAGGTTATCTGACGAAGCCAAAGCCGAAGAAGTTCCTCTCGTCGAGGCGGCACTGTCAATGTACTCGTAGTTGGGATCAAAGCCGGCCACTCGGTAGGAGCCGCCTAGTTCAGTGTTGAATCGACGATCACCACTTCCATCACCACCACTTTCACCACCTCCTTCTCCGCCTCCAAAGTGCTGATAAGGCTGCTGAGAGGTTCTCTGCTTTTGAAAGTTGCTCTCCGAGGTTTTGTAGTGGTCGTCGAGCTAGAGTAAAAAAATAGGCGGTAAAAACGTTTTTGTCAACTTAAAATCATCTCAAGGGTCAGTTACCTCTGAAGCCGAAGTCGACGTTCCTCGGCTCATCACCCCCTCCAGGGGTGACCCTTGAAGGTACTTTTCGGGAATCTTTCCTCTTCGGGTCACCTTCGTTTCCTCCTTTGAAGACTCCTCCTCGTCCTCAAAGTTGAGCTTATGTCTTTTCGCCGTGGTGGCCATCAGGTTCTTTAGCGTCTTCACCAGCTGTTTATCGTAGCCGGATTTTTCCAAGTCCTCAATGTTTCCCGAAGTGGTTCGGGTGATGTGGCGACCAGTACTTCCTGAAGAGGAAGTTCTAGAAGAGCTTTGTTCAGTTTCCGGTTCATCACCGCCGCCTTCTTTAGATCGAAAAACCGATCCAAAATCAAGATTATTATTTCCACCACCATTGTTCTTTGCAAGGCTAGCTTTTGAAAAGGCGGCATTGACATTTACGTGGTCATCATCAAACTGAGTTTGCTGATTCGAGGAGGAGGAAGATGATCTTTGATCTCCTCTTGAAGAATGCTGAAGATGGTTTTGCTGTTGATGGTGATCATAGTTATCTCCTAAAGATGAACCCGAGTCATCACCTGAAAATTTGGGAAACGGTACCGTCTTGATCTCCTCATCACCTCCACCTCGGTATTTTGGCATACCCTTCAGGTACTTTTCTGGAATGACTGAAGCAGGTTTTCGGATGTTTTCTGGCTCATCGTGTGTTGGCGCCATGTTACTTGAGCTGGCGATGTTGTTCGAAGATGGTGAACTTCCACTTCCACCACCGCCATTATCATCAGCGTACTTCTCCGAGCTGCCGTCCGTCTTCCTCACCATCGGGTTCATGCGAACGGGAGGTCGATCAGGGCGGACCTTGATCNCCGTGTGTTGGCGCCATGTTACTTGAGCTGGCGATGTTGTTCGAAGATGGTGAACTTCCACTTACACCACCGCCATTATCATCAGCGTACTTCTCCGAGCTGCCGTCCGTCTTCCTCACCATCGGGTTCATGCGAACGGGAGGTCGATCAGGGCGGACCTTGATCGGCGCTCGGACGCTGTTCACCCTCACAGGAGGTCGTTCCGCCTTGATGCGAATGACGGGTCGTTTTCGCTTTCCACTGTTTTCTGAAGAAGTAGAGGTGGAAGTTGAGGATGAACTAGAACCTGAACCTGAACTAGAATGAGAAGAGGAGGAGGAGGAAGAATCAGAATTTCCCGAATTGGAATAAAAGCTCGATGAGGATGAAGGTCCTGATGAAGATGAAGAGAAGCTAGGACTGGTCTGCCGGTGAACATTTCCTCTTTGGTTGTTGCTTTGAGGAAAAGACGAGGAAGATGCTGTGTTCTTTGGCTGAGAGTAGCCCTCTGAAGGTCTACCACTGTTTGAAGGTCCTGAAAAGCTGTAAGAGGACAAAGAAGAAGGTGGGGAATCCGAGTGGTGAGCATTTCCCCTTTGATTCTTTGCTGGCGAGTGCTGATGATCACCGCCGTTGTCGAAGTTGTGATTCTGCAGATTCTGTTGTTGATAATTTTGCTGCTGTTGGTTGTTGTTGTTATTGTTGTTGTTGTGATTGTGATTGCGGTGGCTGTTGTGCTCAATGTGGTTCGAGGTGGGCCCTCCTTCGTTTGCCGATTTGACCAGTTTGGGAGCCGGAATCACCTTGAGAACGTCCAGTTTAGGGGACTAAAAGTGGAGAAAACAAGTAAATATAAATAAAAATTAGATATTTTTTACCGTTTAATGAACTACGCAAAGTTAGGATTGCAAGTAAAAGTTTAAATGCAGCATACCCAAAGAATCAAGGTAAAATTTAAGTGACAATCTTATAAATTTTAAATAAAACTAAATAAAATAAAAGTAACATTTTTTCGTTTTTAGATGGTTCAGCAAATAAAAAATCAAACTGCCAAAA